CTACACCTTGAATTATTGAATATACAAATTAGCTAAATTATCTATGTCTTGAATTATTGAGTATACAAGTTAGCTGGATTAGCTCATCTTGAATTACTTTAGCTACACATTGAATATTAAATATATAAGTTAGCTAGATTAGCTACATCTTGTATTATTGAGTATACAAGTTAGCTAAACTATCTATTTCTTGAATTGAATAAATCAAGTTAGCTATATTAGCTAATCTTGAATTACTTTAGCTACACATTGAATAGTAAATATATAAGTTAGATTAGCGACATCTTTAATAGTAAATATATAAGTTAGATAGATTACCTACACCTTGAATTATTGAATATACAAATTAGCTAAATTATCTATGTCTTGAATTATTGAGTATACAAGTTAGCTAGATTAGCTACATCTTGAATTAGTTAGCTAGATTAACCTTGACTGTGTATTCAATAATTTATTGCCTTATTATCTATGTATTGATTTAACAACGGATAAATTTGCTCATTGCTAAAAATAAAAAATTACAAAAATTTCAGCAGCAAGAAATTATTGGCTCATATAAATGATAAATAAGTTTTTCTGAAGTGCTAATATCTCCAAATTAGTCTAGCTACTGTTTATTCTAATAACTTTATAACTAGTACTATTAATATTGTTTCTTTCAGACTATGAACAACGTCAGTTATACCAGGCTGCAAAAACTATCCAGAATGCATTCAGGCAATATAGGGTAAGTTGAAAACTTAAAATTTTAATACTGTAAAATACTTTATTTTAGCTGGAATTAATTTTCGCTGAAAAGACTTTTTGGGTGTTTTGGATGGATTTTATGTACACTGATTTTTGATGTGTTGAATGTAAAATAAAGGAAAAAAAGGTATATTTGCTGGATTTTATTTTCACTGAATCATTCCTTCGGCGAAAATAGCAACAATTAATTCAAAGCGAAAATAAAGTATTTTACAGTAGTTGAGTCCTTCTAAGAATTTTTCTTTGAAAAGCTGTGAATATAAAGAATCAACTTTTTTTACATGATACTTTGGATTATTTCTAAGAAAATGCATTTTATTTTAACTGTACTGTATGTATGGCATTTTTTAACCTAAAAGTTAACAGTATTAATTTCAGGAGTAATGATCTCTTCCATGTTCCTTTAAGCAGAGTAAAATAGTACAAAGCAGGGCTTCCTAATTCATTTAGCTTGACTTTTTAATGAGTTTATGGTTAAAAGTATAGATATGTTTAGCGATTTAAGAAGACTTTTGTAACTATTCTGAATGTAAATGTTGGATCTGGTTTATTTCAACTTATTTATATATACAATGTTGTTATTCTTTGTTTGCTGTTATCTCATCTATAAGGACACTGTTGGTTGGTAAATAAATTAGTCAATTCTGTTTATAGTGGTAATCATTAATAATTAATGAAAATGTCAATAAAAATGAAGGATAATGTTTGTGTTCTACAATTTCAGGGTCGACAAAGACAAAAACAACAAGAACTGGAAGCAGCTGTGATTATTCAAAGTTATTACCGAAGATACAAACAGGTATCTATTCTTCTACAGTGACACCTGTCTAAACTGAACACAGTGACACCTCTTTAAACTGAACACAGTGAAACTTTTCTAAACCCAACACGGTGACACCTCTCTAATCTGAACACAGTGACACCTGCCTAAACTGAACACTGGTAGTTACTGGTTAAGGATTGTCAGTGGCCGACTATTGACAGTGGTCACCTATTGACAGTTGCATTTAATTCATGGATTTTTTTTTCTAACCATAGTATCTTTTGTACAAAAAGATGACGCAAGCAGCCGTTTTGATCCAGAGTCGTTTTCGAAGTTACCATGAGTACAAGCAGTTCAAAAGAAGTCGACAGGCAGCCATGTTGATTCAGAATCGATATCGAAGCTATCGTGAACATGAGAGATTTAAGAAAAGTCGAGATGCTGCAATGCTATCACATCCTCAGTCACAAAGGTTTGGCATTCCCCTAACTCCCTCAATTATTTATTGTTTTGTGTTCCCTTAACTTCCTAAATATTTCATCTGTTCATGTACTCCCTTAACTCCCTCAATAATTTATGTCCATGTGTTCCCTTAACTTCCTCAATAATTTATGTCCATGTGCTTCCTTAACATCCTTGATAATTTATGTATGTTAGTTCCCCTAACTCCCTCAATTATTTATCGTTTTGTGTTCCCTTAACTTCCAAAATATTTCATCTGTTCATGTTCTCCCTTAACTCCCTCAATAATTTATGTCCATGTGTTCCCTTAACTTCCTCAATAATTTATGTCCATGTGCTTCCTTAACATCCTTGATAATTTATGTATGTTAGTTCCCCTAACTCATTGTTTATCTGTCATTGCTCCCCTAACTCATCATCTATTCTTTTGTTTTCAGTAAAAGACTGTCTGATTCTAAATCCAGAGAACAAATAGCTGCAAGGCGTATACAGAGATTCTTGAAACAAAATAGACACCGGTGAGTAACCATAGTGACATACCAGAGAGACTGCCCCTAAATCTGAATAAAAAGTTGTCACAATTAAAGCGCTACAGTTGTCGGACTGTGTCGCGTTCGATATAGGATTCATACTGACGTATACAATAAATGTGAAATACATTGTTTGTTTACACAAAATTCGAACATTGGCTGATGACGACTGTAGCGCTTTAAAACTGTTCTTTACTATGACTGTATTGTAGGTGTGCATGAAAATTGATTTCTCACTCAAGTAAAAACAAAAACTATAATTATAATTGTTTCTATACACATCACACATGAAACTGAAAACTGACACTACAATAACTGAGATACACATCTAGATTCATAGCAGCCATGTATAGGGGGAAATTCTGTTCTTTTTCTAATCTGGTTTTAATGAGCTATGTAAAATCACGTTTAAGGCTGCCAAAATTGCTTAAATTGAAGACAGTTTTCCAAAATTTTAAAAAATTATTATGTTTACAGAGATTTTTTATGTTATTTTTTTCATTCTCAAAGTGTTCAACATTAAGTCTGCAATACGTGAGGCAGCTGTTTTGGATGTTATTAAAGGCAGCCATATTAAACAATATCATGACATTTATGTTTTGTTAAAATTAGAAAAAGTGTTATTTTCACTAAGGTTGTCATTACTACATTGGTTTGATTGTTGACTCGCATTCTGCATTTTTTGCATCTTTTGTGTTTGTATTCACAAAAGTGTCGTCATGGCAACTATTTTCTCACTATGTCACTTAATCCATAGACCTTAGAACAGGTCTATGCTCAATCATACTTACATTGTTTATTTTTTCATAATTCCAAAATTAAATATTTTGTACAACTCCAAAATTTGTCAATGATAACCATAATTTAAGAATCAATTTTTTGTTTAAGCCTTTTTAAAGTCATTTTTCTAAAAACTGATCATTGGCAAGGTAGTATCAGGTTAATCTAAAATAAAAATAATAACAAAATTAAATAGAAAGAGCGCCCTCAACCCATGGTGTCATACCCTTCATACTGATACTCATTGTTCTTAATTCCATTGTAAGAGTTATCTGGGACATGAAAGAACGGTGAGTTTTTTTCTACAAATGTGCTCTGAACGTTATTTTCAACGCTTTCTCTTCTTTCACTTCTTCACTTGGTTTCCCCATCAGCGAGTTCACAATCCACCCATGTCTGTGAAAAAAACAATCAGTGTTTCTAGTGTGTTTTCTTTTCCATCTTTTTCTTCATTAACTTTTTCCTCATCCTTGTAACATGAAATATTTATGTAAAACTGACTCAATTTTTACTTTTGAGTGCTGAACCATTCCTCGTTAATAAAACATAGGGTTTTTTATTTGATAAATTATCAGTTTATTTTACTACTGGATAAAAAAAAACTAGACAGATTAGTTGTTCAAATAACAAGAATAGTATCCCATAATCACATGGTGTTATACAAGGGATTGAGGAGCCTGGTTTATTTAAATTTGTTTTTTGTTTTGATATTTGACACCATTTTGTAAAGCAAGTTGGCAACCAGATAAAGACTTACCAGTATAATGCCCTTTAGGGGTAGTGTGGCGCCCTCTAGTGGTGACCCCTGCTAACAGCCATATTCTGTTGAATATATCAGTATCTGGTTACTTTAACAGTACGGTATTCACATTTTTTTTATATATATTTGCTAATAGCCATACTTTTATAGCACAGTGTTCTCCCTTCACTATTTTAGGCTCCTCTGTGCAAAACCCTCAGTGGGAGTCTTTGGGAACCTATCTGTCTGTATATATGTATGTCTATTCTACTAATATCTCAAAAACCACCATTTTCAATGAAAATGGTATATAGATGCTCTGGGACAATCCGCAAACCTGAATAATTCAGGATTCAATCCATGCATATTAATCACCTAATTTGCATTCATGGGTCATTTTTCTGCTATTTAAACCACTTATCAGATTTAAATTAAATTTTGTACATATGGTGCTCTTTGATAAACCACAGATGTACATTTAAATTTATTCTTTTTGTTATAATATTTCTAGAGTTAGTATTATAAACTTCAATACTGTGGATTAGATTCTTTTTAAATTGTGCATCTCAAAAAGCAAAGCTATATTAGCGAATCTTGTTCAAAAAGGCTAATCTTAAACTTTTAATTAATTTTAAATATTCTGCCAAATGTCTCCAATATCCTCAGCACACTGCAGTTCTTTCTAAGGTTTCTTTGATTTTTTAATTTGACTCACCAAGAGTTTGTTTTGATATGCCAAAATTAACTTTCTTCACAGCATTCTTCACACATTACAAACTCACGTATGCAAATTTGTTTCTGTTCATCTATCTCGCAGACTGAAAAACATTGAAAGAAGTTGTGCCGATGCAAGTTGGCTCCCCTCTCTGGCTAGCTGTGTACCCTCTTCAGATCCAAGGAATCCTACCTTCCACTGAGCAGATGGAAACCAGACAGAAAAGAAAAAATATTTAAAATGAAAGATGGATATTTATAATCTACTTACCTTATGTTCTTAGTACATTTACAAATTTGCCTTACAATTACTCATTATATTACCTCTATATTAATATTATGACATTTTTTTACCAATTCCACGTTTTTCTTCACCGTAAAGTCATTAGCTTGAAATTCTACATTTTCAATTTTCATAATGCCCTGTAGAGGGCAGTATACTGCTTGCATTTTTCTGCCATAGAGGGATGGCATTTTAGTATTCAAAATCTTAGATGTTATATACCTTACTAAAAAGCTGTAGCTTTTAACAAACTTAAAGCTATATATTTAGAAATATAATTATGCGACTCCAATGTATGATATACCCGTCAAAATTAATGAGATGAAAGAATTGTGAAGTGATATCCCAAACAATGGTATTATTGTGGCTGATGTTTACCATATATGGTGAGGATATTTGCATTTTTACCAAATATGGTATTGACTCATATTTACATATTATTTGCATATCACTCCCTTATTTGGAAACAGAAACCACATGATAAGGAGTTGGCCTTATACACTTAACCTGTTTTTGTTTGTTTTTTGACAAGAGATCTTTGTGTGTAAATATTTTACTATATTTGTGAATTTAAAGTCTTTTTCACGTTCAGTATTCAGGAGACTTCCTACATTCACCCACACTTATGGCTAACATCCTAAACGTACTTTTTTTTAGATAATGGTTCAATCCATGAGTAAACTTTAGACTAGTCCACTTCTGTTTAGGGGTGAATATACTCCATGACATTTACATCCAATGATTGCCCAATTTTGTCAATATTTGTCCTTATTTTCAGAATAAAGCTTGTTTCCTCATCATTTGACACTAAATATTGGAAGTATGTTCCGTTTAGGCCCAGTAAATGAAAGCAAAGAAAATTACAGCTTCTAATACATTAATACTTGATGGGCTAAAAAAAAAAGTACTCATCTTCAAAAAGTGCCCACTCAGGTTTCACTATGGTGTGAAATTTTTTGTACACAGGGTTTTTTTCCTACGAATTATATGTTAATTTTATTTTTTCTACTACTGCGTTTTCATGGTGTGTATTATATGTATACAAATAACTTAATAAGTTGTGATGGATTTTGTGATTAAAATGTTTTTCTTAATTGTTAATATAAATTATTCATTAGATTATGCACAAAATTTGCATAAATTGTGATTTAAAATATCAATATTGACACTGCAGTCTTTTTAAAATTTGTATACATTCAACTAAATTATTATGATAATTAATGTACACTTTATGATCAGAAAACAATGATTTTTCCAATCAGACATTTCCGTTCAGGATAAATAGAGAATATTGTTATTTTCTTTTATTTTTGATGGAATTTATTTCCATTGAGAGTCAACACACTGGAGTTATTGCAACATGTTATGTTGACATGGGTCCCATACCACACAGCAACAATCATTGCAACATGTGATGTTGATATGGGTCCCATGCCACACAACAAC